GGCGCCGCGCTCGGTGTGAAGCGCCTTCCCTCGCCCGCTTTGTTTCGAGTTGGCGTCTCACGCTGCCGCCCAGACTGGAGTGCGGGGGCCCGTCTGCTGCTTAAGCTCAGGGGACCGACTGCCGGGGTGTGCCTGGGCCTTTCCGTTTTCTTGTTTTCCTGAAAAGGAGGGTCGCTTGAGAGGACAGAAAAGCTCCCAGAGTCTGGGGGACCCGAGGCTTGCCCGGGACTTTCAGGTTTAGAACTAGGAAAGTAGGGCACTGGAATAGGAACGTCTGCAGACCTAACTCTGAGGGCTGCCTCGCATCCTGAAAGTAGCAGGGCGGTCGGTCGGTCGGTCGATGCGTGGAGCTAGGACCGTGTCCCGGGTTGCCCAGAAGTGAAGGGGTTCCCGGGATGACTTGGGCTGAGCAGCGGCGGAGCCCAGTCGGAGCCCAGTCGGAGCCGCGTGGGAGCCGAGTGGGAGCCGAGTCGGAGCCGAGGGCTCTCTCAGTCAGGGGAGCGGACTTCAGGACTTACCTCGCTTTGTTTCATGCTCTTGTTAACCTCTCTCTGATCTGAGAATCTACCTCTGTTTTTGCTGCTTCTTTCCTGTGAGGAAATGCTTTAAAATTCATGATGTAGTGCTAAGTCAGCTCAAATGGCTGATAGGATTTTAGGTGTCTTTACAGAGTGAATGTCAGGTCAGAAACATTCTGTGCCCATTTTACGTGGTTGATGTCTGGTGAATAAAATCGATGGCTTTGCTGATACTACTTTTAAAACCCTGTTTAGTATTAGAGTTCAGAGTTCTGAAATGAGCTGCAGTTTTTAGTTATGTATTCCGCTGGAAGAAAATGAGGTGAGGCGTTTCATGCAGCTTCACGTTTTCTACCAGTTGGTTACATTACTTGTGTGGAGGCAAGATTACGTGCCTGCTGACGCTAAGAAGTTACATGTATAAGGCCTTGCCATGGCATTTCTGAAGTTTTCCCATTAACACTGAGCATTCTGTTTCACTTTAGGAATAATGACGAGACAACTTGACTAGAAATCAAGTGCTTTGACTTGGGGTACAGAAGATTACAGATATTTATAAATTTTCTTAAAACTTTATTTTGAGATTTTTAAGACGAAAACTTTATTTTAGCTTTGATATTTAATGTTTGGTATATAGTTTTTATGTTCCTCAGTGTCAGAAGAATAAAGGATTATCAGGGAATAATTAGCCTCTCCTTCCTCTGGGAAGTCAGTGGCTACATAAATAAAAGTAGCATTCATTATTTAGGAAAATTTATTTTGATCAAGATTTTTATTTTCTCCAGGTGCAAATGATCTTTCTTAGTTTTGGCATAATTTGCTACCATGTAGAATATTTTTCTCCATTAGGTAATAATACAAAGTTTCTGTATTCCAAGACAATGGTAAACCCCTCTGAAATACCACTTGATAATACTCCCTCATACTTGTAGTTTTTGAGAGCTGGTTTTATTAGCAATCTCTCATCAGTTTTAACTGTACCTTCTTTTTCTACTTTGTAAAAAAAAAAATTATGAAAAACTAAATTAAATATGAGGCTAACTTTCCAAAACACTTTTTTGAATAGTGTTTCATGTAACCAAAAGATACGACTCTGGCTTGTCCACACACTGAAATCAACAGGCTTGTGATTTTTCAGATCGTCTTATCTATGGTGGCTCACTCTAGCCTTCTTGAGTAAGAAATACTTGGTCAATATTGGTATGAATTCATGCTCCTTCTATGAAAGGTAGGCTACTTTTTATGATCTTTGTTCTTAGTTGAGATAATTGTAACCACAGCCTGAATTAGTCTAGTTTAAGGCCCTTGTCATGGTAGAATCGAAAGCAAGGAAGTGGAGAATATCTGAAAGATCTAGTCTTACACCTTCTATGGTCTTGTTTTAAAAATTATTTGCAAAAGTTAACTAGCGAACCTCAAGATTTTCTTTTTATATCGTATTTCTTTTTTTTTTTTTTTGAGTGGGCGTCTCACTCTGTTGCCCAGACTGGAGTGCAGTGGCCGCTCCCGGCCATCGCAGTCTCCACCTGCTGGGGCTCCGGCAATCCTTCCGCCTTCAGCCTTCCAAGTAGCTGTAACTGCAGGCACGCGCTACCGCACCCGGCTAATTTTTGATTTATTGTAGAGATGAGATCTCACCAAATTGCCCAGGCGGGTCTCAAACCCGCGACTCAGGCAATCCACTTACCTCGGCCTTCCAAGGCGTGGGATTACAGGCTGAGCCACCGAGCCTGGCTTATATCATATTTCTTTTTTTTTTTTTTTTTTTGAGTTAGAGTCTCACTCTGTCGCCCAGACTGGAGTGCAGTGGCCGCTGTCGGCCACCGCAGCCTTGACTTGCTGGGCTCCAGCGATCCTTCTGCCTCAGCCTTCCAAGTAGCCGGAATTACAGGCATGCACTACCATGCCCGGCTGATTTTTTTTTTGCTTTATTGTAGAGATGAAGTCTCTCTGCCCAGGTGGGTCTTGAACCCGCAGGCTCAGGCAATCCACTCTTAAAAGACAAACAATTGTATATATTTATGGGATACAATGTGATGTTTTGATCTGTGTGCACATTATGGAAAGATTGTCAAGCTAATCAACATATCCATCACTTTGCCAACTAATCAAAACTATTAGTGGTGAGAACATTAAAAATCTAGCAGATTTGATTTATTATTATTAACTATGGTTACCATGAGTATAATTGATAACTAAAACTTATTCCTCCAGTCTAACCTGAAACATTGTACCCTTTGATCAACATCTCCTCTTTTCCCCTCCTATCCTTCTTTTATATTTAGAAAGCTGCAAATACTAGCTATTGATTACTCAGAAATTTTATTTAAATACTTACATGCAAGAAAACCAGTTAGGTTAGATTTCACTAGATTTTAATGTATTTTCTGACTAGCTGGCGTGTCTATGAGAAAAAGTATACTTACTAACTTGATGTTACTAATCTTATTTTATCTGAGTGAAGCTATCTCAGTGAGTACTTAATTTTAATTCCCAGTCTTGGAACTTGATCTTATTCTTGATACTGGCCTAGGATTTACCTCTGGTTAGAACTTCACATTTCTATCTGAACTGGTCTTTGGGTCTCTTGGGATTGGAGGGGCATGGCTACTCAATGTTCCTACCCCTCTTTTGCTACCTGTTGCCTTTTTGAATACATTGTGACTGACTGACCTTTTGTAAAAAGAGTAGGTGTTTACCATGGTTTTGAGACTGTAGATGACCAGTGGACTCCTTATTTTTCATACATGTCCCTGACTTACCATGACATTTCCCAAAATGTTTCTTTTTTTAAAAAATTTTTTATTTTAAAGATGTGGGGTACAATTCAGGGTTAGGTATACAAGTGTTCATTATGCAGGTACCCTTGTTGATGAGGTATGTCTTCTCCCCCCACCCACTGCAGATTGCCACTACTGCCAATCACGCCTTTCCCCCTACCCTCCAGCAGTTTCCCTACTGCCAATCCTTTTCTTATAGTATTGTGATAATTGTTCACGGTCTGCTTATGAGTGAGAACATGTGGTGTACTCAGTTC